GTTTTGGGTGTCCCGTACAGTACGTAGAAATCGAAAGGACGCCCAGATGGCTCCCCCAACAAGTCTACTTCGCGAACTCCCTCTTGATGTAATTGCTTAAACAGAGTATTGCGCGATACTCCTCTCTTTTTCCTTTCTGCTTCTAGATCGATTTCTTCTTCAATGTCCGTCATCCTATCGTCTTCCTCATCGTTGTAGGCCTCTCCTGAAATCTGGCCTTCTTCACATATCAACACGCAGGTTTCTCCTTCGTTGTCCTCCCTCTCTTCTTCCTTTTCCTTATTCTTGAATTCATTGGCCAGTAGGTAATTATTGGCCACGACAGGAGGCAACGTACCGAATTGGATAGCAAGGGGCTGATCTGGATCTTCTTCATCCCTCTTGTCCCTCTCAAACCTTGATCTCCCAGAAGAGGTTTCTGGCAGTTCCTTCATTGATTCATCTGTACCGGTTTCTTTACTACCTTTGAGGACGTTTTGATTGGCTACCTTGAGTAGTATAGACGCTTTAGGATGTGGCACTCCTTGTTGCTGCCTCATCATCCGTCTGTAGTTTCGTTGGAAACGCCTTTGTTGGGTCCTAGTCATCTCATCGAAGGGTATTGCCCTTCCTGCACTGTACTGGAATGAATGCCATACATTTGGCCGGCGAGGTTGCGGCCTAAATGTTCTTCCAGTATCTGCTGGTCTGAACTGCCTTTCAAAAGGCGGTCCTCTATAGAATGATGTACCTCGCCCTCTACCAGGCTGAATGTTTGGGAAGAAGGCAGGGCGATGAGGATGCTGCCATGTCCCTGGTTTCTCCGTGTTTCCATTTACTTCCCTTTTACACCTTGCACACAGGACGTCTTCATCCTTTTTTGGTTCTTTTCCTTTGATTCGTTCAAAGACGCTGGGATGTGGTCTAGGATCTTCTTCTCCGTCATCTACGACCAATTTGAATTTTGGTAACTTGTTCTTGAATCCAGATGTTACCATGTTTACTCCAAGTGGCTGTGGGAAAGGATTCTCGTCCATTGCCATCTTTTTCTTATCATCGAACGAAATTCGTCCTGATTCAATAGCATCCTGCAATACATGACGGAAAACCAAGCAATTGTTAGTCAGATGTGACCATGCATTATGCCATTTACAATATTTTTTACCCTTAATTTGTTCAGGGTTTGGCAATTTGTGCTTATCGCTCAATCTTATCTGCTTATCCCTATATAATTTATCGAATATAAGGTCAGCTTTGGTCACATCAAACAAGAACGTTCTAGCCTTTATGTTTCCATCCTTTATGGGCTCATCTTTGCCCGATGGTCTAGGCTTGGCCATTATGGGACAAGTATATGTATCCCCTTTGACCAATTCGGCCAAACACATTTCGGCCTGATCGTATGACTCGTCATCGATGGTATGAACGTCAAAATTTGGGTTTTTTGTAAATAAGTCCCTTTACTAGAATTTTTTATTTGTTCTTCTTCTCTTATCAGTCGCTCATACCTAATCACATTTGCACTCAACTGGAAAAGGTTAGGGAATTCCTTGTCCTGGAACTTCTTTTTTAAATCAAAGGTCAAGCAGCCTTAAGCGATCTTGACAAATTCTTTTTCGGGCAGAGGTACAAAACACTTGCTTCTTGCCGTCTTGAACCTTTGGAGAAAACTTTCTGCCCATTCATTTGGCATTTGACGTAAATTCCCCAAATCGGCCAAAGTGACTTCAGACTCAGTTTTATAAAACTGAGCGTGAAACAACTGTTCCAATTGTTGCCATGTTTGAACAGAGTTCGCTGGCAAGTTGATGAACCAGGAGAAAGCTACTCCTGTTAACGAACTAGGGAAAAGTCTCATTTTATGGTAATCGGTTACATCACCACTTTGCAATGTGAATCGCCCTATGTGTTCTAGAGTAGACACCTCTCCTAAACCGGTAAACAGTAAGAATTCTGGCACTTCGTATCCTCTAGGCCATGGATATGCTTGATCTACCCAATCAGGATATGACTTTGTGTACGTCGGCCTAATGACGGGACGCACCCCAAAAGCCATCTGATCCTGTACGATTTCCATAATCTGGTTCCTCAACATGACGTTGGGGTCATATGGAATTCCTACAGGTTGGTTAACCAGTTGGTTTGCATGAGGCCTGATGTTTGGTCCTTGATTGGTAACAAAATTACCATGATTATGACCATTACCATTAGCCTGAACATCTACTCCCTCGTTACCACGTGGAATATTCTGTCCATTGTTTAGGACATTATCTCTCACGTTTGGATTACCCCCCAGGTTAGGCATTGCACTACCATTGCTTTGATTTGGCACTGTAGTACCCCCTTGGTTTGAAGTAGATGGACCAGAAAGCGGTTCTACCCCAGAAAGCGGTTCTACCCCTTGACTCGGATTTAGGACCGAGGGATTATGTCCCACGATCGTCCTAGTTTGAAAGTGATTTGTAAGAGATATAGCCGGTTGACATATTTGGCCTACTAACTTATTCATCGTTTCGTTCAACGTCTTTAGTTGTTTGGCCAGGTTGTCATAGTGTAGATTCCCATTTTGTGTAAATCTTTCCATATTATGGATATTTCGAAGATTTACCTGTTCAACGACGTCTTGCGTGAGTTCTCCAAGTAATGCACGCATGGTTCGAGGACTCAACTCCGTCATTGGTTCGTAATGACTGTTACTGCTCTGATTTTGTCCATCTGTTCATGGAGAGGCATGCTGCTCCTCATATCGCTCGATTACAGACTGGATTCCTCCCTGACTTGCTGCTTCCTTATCGGATCTCTGAGGCATATTGTTTCCCCTTTTGTACTTTCAACACCTAACATCACTGTCCCACCGGGCGTGCCAAATTGTTTCGCGCGGGTTAGTCGCTAACAATTAAAAGGGATCAGACGATTGTGTAAGGGACAAACCTCTTGAGACAAAGTCCCAAAAAGGGGTGTTCTTTTATTGGCGATGACTTTACAATTGGAAATGAAAAACAATGTACCTCCAAGGGGCGCAAGCACACGAGTTACTGAAGGAAAAGTGTTTAAGTTTAAAAACTAAGAAAATGAAAATTACATATTCTCTGTTCGAGAGTTTTGGATTCGGTCTTTTGCTTCTATGCCCTTTCTCCCTTTTATACTTCATGGACGATTTCTTTGTGATCAACCGCTCTAAAAACTGCTTGATCGTCCTATAACTGCCAACTTTCTTCGTAATGGCCAACTTGTCATGAAAACTGCCTTTTTAACTGCTGCCATTACTCTTCCTCATTCAACTGCTTTCGATTGAGTTCCTTGAATCGTGGAACGTGATAGGGCTTCTTCAATAACTGCCTTGATAACTGCATTTCTTGATAACCACGACGCTTTATGTTGTTAAGACCTTGGGCGACTTGAAGGTTTGGGCAAGAATAGAGTAACAGTTCTGAGCGACTGTATGACACTTCATTCGCTCGGATTTTGGGCGACTTGTAAATTTGGGCGATGACGTTACCGCGTTCTTGGGCCTTCATCTTGATTTGTTCAATTGGGCTTCGTTCTTTGGGCTGTCTGATTTGGGGATCCTACAATTGGGCTTCACTCCTTGAACTGCTCGATTTGGGCTGAATTTTTATGTGTCAACAGTTAAATGACGAGATTGGGAACTGACAAGTATGATATTAGAGCCAAGGTTTTAAGACACAATCCTGTTACGTGACAATTGACATACATGCAAATTTCATATTTTGGCATCCATTCACAAGGTAAGTCTTATATTTTCTTATTGCTCTAGAAATCTGTAATACAAAGTGAGCCATTTAATAAAGAAAAGATATAAACATAAATGAAATGCTTCATAAGGACACCAAATTTCAAAAAAAATAAAAATAAAATAAAAAATATATAAAAACATAGGGCCTGTTTGGTAGTGATTATGAGAATTGATTTCTTGACCATTAAAGAGAAAAGCAAGTCTCACCTATGAGTAAAGAAATAAAAAATGATGATTAGAATAGTGAAATAACGGTTAAAAAATTAATTTTTTGAGGTGAAAACTTGCTACCAAACGGGAGCATAATATGAATATACTTATTCAGCCAGTAATCTATATCATAATTCCCTTTTTTTTTTTTTTTTTTTTTTTTTTTTAAATTAGTTAAACATTATTTTATTTCTTTTTTTTTTTTTTTTTTTTTTTTTTAAAATTAGTTAAACATTGGGCCCCAATTATAGATGTTCAATTCTACATGTACGTGCAAGTTGAGAATAACAATGTATGAGTTCATTAGTCAATTACATCAATTTTTTGTATAATCAATAATATCAAGCATTATCCAATGCAATGCCAATATTCAATGCAATGTCAATGGATAGAATCTTAAATCTATAATCAATTTGAAAAGCAAGAAGTAATTCACTAAACCTAATTGTAATAAAATATGTTTGGAGTAAAAATGAACATAGATTAGTCACCTTCAAATTGTAAAACAATAAAAGTGCTTTATCTGTGAAGTTACTTGTCTTTGATTTTCAAATTGTTGTGTGATTTCCTTTTTCTCTCATTCTCCCATATTTATAGTAGTAATTAAGAATTGAATTAATAATTTATTTATTTTTCCCTAGTCATTATTTTGCCACATTTTATCCTATCATTTTAATATTTAGAATGGCAAGGTAATATGTGTAGGGGTAGCCATCTCATTCCCCTTAATTTTTTCACATGGTTTTTAATCAAAATTTTAATTCAATTCTTTTCATAAGGTTGTAATATTATTAACAAAACTTTTTACTATGTTAGACGAAGTGTACATCATAATAAAAAGCATGAATATCAGCTATGCGAGTCTGTGCTACTTGCATAGGCCTATTTGCACAGGGACCACCCCCATGTGACAGTCTCTGTACAAGCCCTGCGCAAATGAGTTTAAACAAGGAGCTTTTTTATTCTTTAAATACTAAAGAAGAATCGAGCATTTGAAACTAGAAAAAGTTGCCGTAATTTAGTTTGAAATCAAAATCAGAGGATTAATCATGAATAATAGATAAATTCTGCTAAACTCTCATGCGATTACTCGAAATATATTTATAACGCGAATCCAATTATCTAGCCAGATCATAGGTATTGGTTGACTAGGTAACAACCTCGCAAAATTATTCGATTATATGTACTGAGATTCCATTTTCCTCCACTGTCAATGTACAAGGAAGATCAGGATCCTAAATCTCCAGGCTGTCCAAAACTGTGTAAAATTAAAATAGATACTGGTTACTTTCTAGTTTAAGCCCTGTCCATCCCAAGATCCAGCACCAAAAACTTCTTCAATCATATTGCATGTGGGTAAGAGTTCAACTTCATTTCTTGGGCAAGTGAGGTAACCAAATTCCCATTCTCTAGCATTGCAGGCCTCCATCATGAATTCATGGCCACTGATCCCATTTGCTCCATTTAATTGACCTGGACATTGTTTGTGACTACCAGCTTTCTCCATGGTCACTTGTGAACCCACCCTGGCATCACTGGACGTACACATACCTTCTTGGGCATCAAGTCGTCCTGTATTGTGAGAATGATTTCCATGTGATGGCTGAACAGTAGGATCCAAACTACATTTGACGTCTAACTTACAAGTACTTGACTCTGGCACATTGATATTATCACCACGAAAATCCAAAACTCTAGCGTCCACAGGAGCACTCTGCAAAACTTCCTCATCATATGCACGAGTATTTATATCTAAGATTTCGTTGCGATCAGGGACTATTGGTGATTCAGCCACGGAGTCTTCATCTTCACCATTTTGAACTTCATTATCAGTAGAATCTTCAGTTCCCACCCATTCATCATCATCGCTATCAATATTTAATGGGGCAAACCTATTCTGCTCGGCTCGTCTTCGTAGCATAAATACATTGAAATAGTAGCCGACAATTTCCTTCTTTGACCGGGAAGGAAATACAACAGCAAGATGATTCCAGTAGTTCTTTCCCAATGATGTGGGATTAGAAAATATAACCTGGTGAAACAATTTCTCTTCCTCTTCACTCCATTTCTCCGCCACTATCTCTCCTACATCACATAAACCCAACTCAGCAAAAGTCTCAGGTCCAAAGGTTCCCTCAAGTTTCTCTCTAGCTTCCATGATGTGTTGTTGAAAACATCTTATGGAACCCTCATCTTCACAAATACAATCTGTTCTTCCAACCCCGACCTCCCCATTGTCTGCAAGTTGGTCTGAATCTGACATTGGAACAACACAAGTTCCGGCTAATCTCTCCTCGTCGGTTTCCAGAACTTGAGAAACAAGATTTGGAGCTTCTTCCGTCTGTTCTGAGCAACTGGGTGTCTTGCAAAAATGTGAACCCCATTCCGGTATATCAGCTTGATGATATTGTCCAACAGGGACAAGTTTCCGAGGAGGATGATCCAAAAGAAGAGAGTATATTTCCCCAGGGTAGGCTATGGTCCTTGGTTGACGCTCAATAACATGATCAGGAGACAATATTATATGAAATTGTGTTTCTGGTCTGATATCTTCTTCACTGATACTTCCAGGAAACAGGGAAGAGCTGGGGAGGGAACCACGGACACTGGTTTCCACATCTTTCTTGCTGCAGAATTGAAGTTCAGTAATATAAGCAATATCAAGCTTCTCATTGCCATCTGCCCTGGTTTTTGTGGAACCGTTGTCACCTTCACCTATCAAATACTTGGACCAGTCAATAACAGTATTATGTGACACGAAAAGCCATTTCAGAAACTAAAAACTTGGATGGCTGAGATCCAAGAAACAAAAAGGAGGAATGATGAAATCAGAGATATCATTATCAGAACCTGGATGAGCCATTAGATATTTCATTACAAAAGAACTAAGGACATTAAAAGAAGATCAAAAGAATCTTATAACAGATTGGCTAAGATCCCTACAGATACATCCAACTTGTAATAGCTTGGAGAGATGCATTCATCTAGGATCCCGTAGAGTAGCATGAGCTTCTCAAAAAACCAAGTTACACCAAGAACTTTGTCTCATCCAAACTCTTCAGAGTCAGGTTCATTCAAATCATCAAGTTATGGTTAGGAATACAGCTCAGTATTTGTAGAAAGGAATACAAAATTAGACTTAAGTTGGGCATCATTGAATAAAGTGAATTTCCATAAGTTAACACATCAAACTCTTAGGTCAAACATTTGTTCTAGGACATTCATAGGCCCCTACCCACCTGAAGTATGACAACTCTGGACCACAGGTTCAGGAGGAAATTCTAAAGCTGAAACAAGCTGACTATTGTGTTCCATTTGCCTTGGTTGTTTAGATGAAACCTGATTTGACTCATCTTCATCAAAAGGCCGTTTTTGGACCATGTTTAACTGTGAAAAAAAGATAAAAGAGAGGTTTAAGAAAATTATGAACAGGGAGAAATTGGCAAAAGTTAATCAAAATGAAAAAATGTAAAGCCATATACAAGAAAAATTAATACAATTCAAGAAAACAGAAAAGGAAAAGAGAAGCAAATATTAAAAAAGTGAAAAAATCATCTTTGTAGTGTCAGTAAAAAGTCACCAAACGGGGACAACCTATGCACTTCACTCTTTAGCATTTTCACTTAATAAAAAGGATAATCTTTCTTCAAATGAAGAGTGAATATCAGTGCTATCAGTGCAACCTTAATATTTTCAGAATAAATCCCATGGGATACTCTAGCTGGTGAAGAAAAGTTGACAGAATGAGATTCTATATCTTTTGACAATGCAAGAAGACATTTTAAAATTCTAAAAGTCCCAAAAATCATATCCCAAAAATCATATGTTACACCATTAATTAAATTTTTTTAAAAAAAGAAAGAAAGAAAGAAAAGTTACAGCATTAATTAGGCGTAACATACTAGAGAGCCATAGCCCATTCCAACAGTTCCAGGCAAGGACAGCTTAAGCCTTAAGAATGTCATCCCCTTTTTAACCCCATATTTTTTCAAACATCATCAAGGTTCTGGCCTCTCATAAAGGCAACAATCCACTACAAACTAAACATGTCCATGATTGGGGAAAACAATGGACCTTATAAACAGAAGGGCATGCGATAAAATTAACACCTCCACATTTGTGCACAGTTTCACGAGAAAGAAGCTGATATCAGGGCTTGAAAGCTCTAACAAACCTTGTTATCAAAACTCAACATCTCTAATAAATCTTACATACCTATGGACGCTATAAAGATAAGAAATGTGAACTGGAAAAATTGTGCACTAAGATATCTTCAAATTCATTTCAAGAAATATAAAAAATTCTCTTTTCGAATACTCCAAACCAAAGCTGGTAAATTCCCCAAACATTATAGCCTCGCATAGACAACAAGACGTAGCAGGTCCCACATAAATATGCTCAAGGATAATAACGCCCAAAAGGGCATGACTAAATTATGTTGCATGATGTCATCACGAAAGTTAAAAGGTCACAACTTTCAACTCCAATGACAACTGATAGTGGTTGACCGTCACCCATTTTTGTTTCTCTCTGTTATATCTAGTATAATAATAGTCAAAACTTATACAAGGAATACACTGTGATGTCATCACGAAAGTTAAAAGGTCACAACTTTCAACTCCAATGACAACTGATAGTGGTTGACCCTCACCCATTTTTGTCTCTCTGTTATATCTAGTATAATAATAGTCAAAACTTATACAAGGAATACACTACTAATAGGAAGCAACCCGCAAATATTTTTGGTCACTCCTGTTCTCGAGACAATAAGTCCCTCATTGCGAGTTTAGGTAGAGACCTACAAATCGGTTTAGATCGCGCAAAAAAGGGGAAGGGAAAAAAATAAAAAATGGTAGAAGTATAACACGTGGCAAAAGGATGGTGTTAGACCCGACAATAGGACCACGTTTATTACTTATCCCGAACAATAAAAATATCTGGCCCTTAAATCAGCAAATTTTCCCTTCAAAATACACCAGCAACTTTTCTATTTAATCACTGAAATTATGCAAAATATTTAGTAGGCTGATCCGTACAAAATACCAACCTTACAATAGTCGGGAAAAAAAACTGCAATACCTCAAAAATAGAAGTAATCTTCAACTCAAATGGAACGGTAGATCTCGATATTCCCGGTCGATTTTCAATCAACTAAGATACAATAACTTTGTTCCCAAGATTAAAATTTTTTTTTCTCAATATAAAAAAAATTAAAAAAAACTAAAAAATATGTCGAAACCCTAGATCCCCAATTTATGCACAAACTCACCAATTGAACACTTTTTGAGATTAAAAAAAAAAAACAAAAGTAATTTTTAAAAAATATAATAATAATTGAAACGAACAACCCAAAAATTACAAGATTGGAAAAAGGTAAAATATTATTTACAATTTCTCAAAACGGATAATAAATTGGGAGGAAAAATTAAAAAAACCCAGATATAAAACCAGTCAATATACAAAAATTACAGCTGAATTCACAGAGATCTGGCCACAATCAAACACGAATCAAACCCTAACCCTAGATTACGATTGCCTCAACAGCGAGAAGTAGAAGAGGTATCAATCGAAAGAGAAAAAATCGAATCGTAAGAATCGAAGGTTAATTTGAGACTCGAGAGGAGAAACCGGCGTCTAATTAGGTATAGAAGAGAGGGATGGAAAGGGGGGAAATCTGTTGACTTTATTATCATTTATAAAAATAAAAGGATAAAGATAAGTTTAGGAACAACGTTACAAGTGAAGGATATGAAATGGAAAATTCCGAAAATGGGTTCATAATTTAAGAGAATTACGACAATTACCTTCATTTGTTAGTTTCATTAAGGGTCAAATTTTGGATTTCCAATCACTGTATCCGTGGGCGACATACTGTGGCTGTAAAGTGAAGAGAGTGGGATTGGCATGCTAGAATTTTCAATCATGCTATGAGTACATTGTAGTGTCATACGGGGTGTTCAAAATGGATACTCGACACCTCGACATTGACCAAGACGCTTGCCACGCCGGGGCCCACCGGCTCCTCGGCTAATACCGAGGTGACGGATGTCCATTTTGGACACCTTGATGTACTACAAACGTTATTCTAGAATTTTTTTGTCGGAATATGATGGTTGTATAGGGCCCTGCGCCTGGTATGTGGCCCTGTACTCATGATTCTTTTTTGTCACAACTTAATTTTTGACAACTTGCATGATAGATTAAGTTGTGACAAAAAATGATTGAATGTTGTATTGACTGTTTTTAAACAATCTAATGACAGAATATTATGTAGGGATGGCAACGGGATGAGTTCGGGACAAGACGCACTCACCCCGTCCCGTCCTGCCCCGCCTTAGATGGAGCGAGGTGGGGTTCGAGGCGCGGTGCAGGGCAGAGACTGGACAATTTTTTGCTCCATTTAATTTTTTTTATTTTTTATTTTTTTTACATTTTTAAAGTTTCGATTTATGTTATTATTAAATAATAAAATACAAATTCAAAATGAGTTTTTAATGGGTGAATTGTCTAGAAATAAAATTATTTTCAATCTTTTTTTTTAGCGAGACGGATTTTTTTGCCATTACTAATAATATGTGACATTTTGTCATTTAAGATGTCAAAAAATTCTGATAGCCAAGCATGATTTACATTGTGTCACCTACAGGAGGACATATTGGACTATGTATGACACATGGCACATCCTCAAAATACTATTTTTTTTTCTTTTCCCTATATTTAGTTCATATTCTACAAATCAAGGAAAACAATATTCTTGTTTCGTTTCCTAGGATGGAATTAAGCTTTTAGTGTCGAAGACATTTGTTGGAAAATTATCACACTGAGGTTTGGAGAAGAAAACAAGAAATGAAAATTCAAGAAGATGAAAATAATGGAAAAAACCTAAATAAATATGAAGGCTCAAACACGACATTATATCGTTGTCCTCAAACGACATTTGCCCCCTCTCGTATATAATTTTTGTGTTTAAAGGGTCTCACGGGAAATGGTTTGTAGGATTAATCAAGCCTTGTAGAGAATCAGATACTTACGCACTTGTGTGACTCTTCAAAACTTGAAGAACACTTAAGGGAATTTGAATATGAATGAAAAGAAGACTTTGGTTTCTTCTTGTGGAATGAAAAAATGTTTATCATATGTTTGTAATATGATTTTTATACTGTGTATTGATCATCTCATCACCTATTTATAGGTTTGAATCAATACCTCGCGAATTGGTGCCAAATCATTATGAAAAGTTGCAATGTTTCCTCCAAAAAACTGCCAAAATTAAAACAAAACCGACCTCCAACGGTCACTAAAATACAATCATGCGACTGCATGGAGTAATCCCATGCGGTCGCATGGTTTATACCAAAACGGGCCTCCCAGTTATCAATCCCTCACTTGTTCAAAATTCAATAAACTTTCATATTCAAAGTATACAATATTCATGAATAAGGATTAGATATCTTTCAATTTGAATCTAACCATAGTGTAATCCAAATAAAGTAAAGTCGGAATCAAAGGTAGTGTGAAACTTTGAACCAGTTATTCCATGTGACAATACCGGTAAGGACACACACACGAGCATTATGTGTTCTCAAGTTCCTCAATCTCACTTAGCGCTAATATGGCATCGCGCTTATTATTTTCAACAAACTTTTAAAAGAGAAACTCCAACTCTCTATTGAGGCGGCACCACTTCGAAGTTTGTTTAGCTGAAATTCTTCCAGTACCTTTGTTACTTTTAGAGATACTTGTGTTTTAACACTGAACTTCATTAAGAGCTTAAAGCCCAACCCTCATTTCAGAAACAACAAACATTATTTTAATTAGGATAGAGTTATCGCGGATTTATATAATGCTGAAACCATCCCACATATCAAATGACTTGTTTTTACCCTTTGAACCCGTGGATTACCTTTTGAGTAATGACAGATAGGGTTGCCGTCATTGGTAGACCTTTATTGTTTAAGAGTTTCAACCCCATCCTACTTAAAATAGGTGCCACTAAAATTTTATTTAGTGGTCTAGTTAAAGGATCCGCTAAATTCTTTTCGAAAATTATTCCCTTCGATAATTTCTTTGTAACGTCACCTCTAAGACTTAGTCTTTACTTTTCATTTCATGTGACTTAGTATCTTATCAAAATAGGGCTAGCCAATGATCGATTCATTTGATAGATACAACTTGTCACCACCAATAAATCAAGTTACCCCCACAATTCCTCACTTAGAAATTCATATACGATCTTGAAATATTGCATCCATAAGTCTTGAACTTCTCGTATAAGTTCACAAGTATTTAATGTTAGCCTCCACATTTTGGTTTATACTCGAACTTAGAATTCATCAATATGCCAGCCCCCACATTTGGAATTGTAATTGAGCTTAGAGTTCATCAACTCTTTCATAGTTCAATTCACTTTGATCAAGGTCATCTCATAGACCATTAATATTTTTCAAGTATAAACCAACTCAATTTGATTCCATGATTGAAGTCCAATTCAATAACGAATAGGACTATACTTCTTGATTTACAAGAATTGCAATTTCTCCAATCATATGCAATTTATCACTTTCACAAGATAGCATCATTTACATCAAATAATAAGATACATGTTCACCTTATTCATTGTTGATCAAAATCACATTTCTATGCAAACACATTTTTGCATAAGATTATCTCACTTAATTGTGTCTCAACATTCCAATAGGACATGAAATCAACCATCAAATTTATCATGTAATTCTTATATTCCAATAGAAGAGTATGAAATTTCATGTTCTTTCAACAAATATTAGGCATCCTTCCACATTTATTCACATCCTTTAGAACCATTAAATATTAATAGGCTGGTCTCAAAACACAAATATGGATGTGCTTTACTTGCACTTCAGAGTCCATAAGCCAACATAATGGCAAATGCACCGTGCAATAAATGATGCCCTATAGAAACATGGGGGCTACCCAAGTGGGTTTGTGTATCATACAAGTAGATGTGGCAGCCCATATATTGAAATTAATCACCGAATAATGAACCATGGTCAAATAGATCTTCAACCTCCACAATTGGTTTGAATTGCATTCTTTAATATTCATGCATATGAACCATTCCAATTGTCACAACAAAGTGAGAATAACCAATTTATTTTAATTTTACATGCAATAAAATTCATCAAGATGAAGTAATCCATATGTAATTTTCATTTTCTAGTAGAAGAAGTGATTATGAAAGTTCACATAATTTCTTTCATAAAATTCTAACTCTTTAGAATTTTCTCATATGAGCAATATCATGTCATTCTCATATCTCAACAAAGAAATGGAGATTCATATACTTTCAACATATAGTTGGCATTCTTCCAACAATTTCGCATGTATGATGTCAATTAAAATGTACCAAAGAACCAAAACAAATTAAAATAAAATATGTTATTTTGGTTTCTACCTTTCCCATACATGCAACCATTATGCACAATCAGATTCTTATGATTTCCTTCATGATTTCTAACAGACAATCTTTCACATGAAGTGCAAAACTCGGAAAATGATGTATTATATGTATAATTCCACATGATTTTTGCAGATC